AGCAGGAATAGTCCAAATCTGAGCTGAAATAGTTAAGAAAATAGCAGAAAAAATAGTGTAAGTGGAAAGAGAAGACAATAAGGCTGTTGACACAATTATTTTTTTTATTCAGAACCTGTAAAAAGATTTAGCTTCTTCCAAAACTGCCTCTAGACCTCACCAGGCCTCACCTCTACTAAAATTTGCACATTACTAGGAGTGATCTATGACCTGCAAAAGATAAGTATGCAAAGAGTTCACAGGTGAAATCCCAACTATATCTGAATGTCTCTCAAGCTCTTTGGTAAAAAAAAAAATGAATTAGAAAATTTCTCATTTCAAGTTTTCCTGTGAAGTTGTGAATACATGCTGGTTTCAGGATTAGGATCATAGGAAAGTTGAGAAGGAAGGGACCTCACAAGGTCATTAGTACAACTCCTGCTCAAGGTAAGATCAACCCTGACTAAACCATCCCAAGCCAAGTGTCTAAACTGCTCTTTAAAATTTCCAGGGATGGAAATTCAACAACTTCCCTAGGTAGCCTGTTCTAGTGCTTGATCACCTTCATTCTCAGGAAGTTCTTTCTACTATCCAACCTAAATTTTCTCTGCTTCAGCTTGAGACTATTGCTACTAGTCTTGTCTCCTACAGCCACAAACAAAAACCCATATCCATCCTCTCTATAACTGCCTTTCAAATATTTGAATATCATTATCAAATCTCACTTATCTTTTCTCCAGACAAAATAACCCTAGCTCTATTACCCTTTCCTCATTAATCTTGTTTCCCAGGCATCTATTCATTTTTGTTGTTCTCTGCTGGACTCTTTCCAACTTGTCTACATCCTTCTTGAGGTGTGGGGTCCAAAACTGGACACAGTACTCCAGGTGAGGCCTCACCAGTGATGAAATCCTCAAATGTTACTCCCTTCCCATTTCAAGTTTTCAACCTTATCTAAACGTGTATTTAAACATATTTTTAACTAGGCTTTACAAACTTAAAGTTTTAGGCTTGAATTTATTTGAATGCTGGTTCTTATGCTATGTTAATCATTTCATCTATGCCCTGAGATATAATTTGCCATCTGAAATTATAGCTAGCATGTTGGCTAACGATAGAAAAAGATTTTCAAAAACTATTAATTTCATCGTTGTTACCAGAATTCATACAAATGAAATTTCTGGCATCTATTTTTTTGTTTTAAGGGAGAAAAATCTTCTCAGAAACAAATTAAACACCAGGAGTAAAATCTTGGTCATACTGGAGTTAATCAGAGTTAACTGGAGTTTTGCCTTTAATTTCAGTGGCTCCAGGATTTCAGTCTAAGAGAACAACGTTAATGGAGTTCAAAGTCTTGGCCAGTGCTGAAATGCTGAATGACTTGTGCACTTAAAACTGTTTTTATGTTTGTTAAGGGACTCTGGGTGTGTCTATATATTGCCATGCTTTAGTACTGCCTTTTGGCAATCAAGTTTGTAAAGCCTAGGTAAAAATATG